CTTACAAAGAAAGGCTGGCCTCACAATCCGACTTGCTCCTTATGCAATGGACCAATGGAGGACGTCATGCACCTGCTAGCTTCCTGCCTCGTCTCCATCCAGATTTGGCAAGACATCTTTGCTTGCTGCAACCTACATCTGGGCCTTGCTCCCTCAGCCGGCACAACACATCCCTGGTGCGTTGGGTCGAGCAGACCAATGGCATTGTTCCTGCATCAACGAAGAAGCCATGGAGCGCCCTGGTACAGCTGGTATGGTGGTCAATATGGAACGAACGCAACGCAAGAATATTCAGGAACCAAACCTCGCCGCAACGGATAGTGGTGGAACGAATGATCGAGGAGGCAGCGGTTTGGCAAAGGGCAGGATGGGGCAAACTCACTCCTCAACAGACCAAGGGAACCCGACTAAGAAAGACACATTACAGGCAATGGCGAAGGCATGTCCACCAGGTTGTGGACTGGCCATGTAAATCTGTTGTAATATAACTCTCTAAACCCCCCAAGTTTCTATGAAAAGCTGGTCCATCAGCATTTTTGTTAAAAAAAACCATACTATGAGGATACAATGCTCTCGTGGTACATTTGTCCTTTGTTCACTGAACCTAATAAATAAGTTCATTTGGCAACATCATTTACATGTCATTTTTGTAGAGCTAACTTACTTGGAGGCTCTCTCTGTAAAAAACCTTTACTTGGAGGCTATATACATAATGAGTAATATTTATTTTTGTTGCTTGATGTTGTATCAAGACAAGCTAGAGTCTACAAGAAACAATGGATCGACACTTGGAGAAGAGGGAAGCCAAAAATCCAAGAAGGTACTAAACCTGTATATGGATTAGCATCGGACAGTGAATTGGTGTGGCACATTTGAGTAAGAGAACAATACTTGCTTGACTGGTAGGTAAAAAAAAGTTGTTTCATGATTGGATTAAGTTTAGACATATCGCTTCTCATTTATTTAATGGACCTTTACCACTATTTGATGAAGATTAGTGTTACGTTTTGCAACAGCCCCATCCACCATATGATGAAGATTAGTGTTACGTTTTGCAACCGAATTTCACTATAACAACACTTCTCTCGATATTGTCAATTAGTGAAATTATCTATTTTGTAGAGTGCAATTGTGAGTTTATAGATGAGAATCAATAAAATAGTTATTTCCCATTTGATATGCCTACTCGCTTATGATTATATCTTACATCTAATAATGCATGTGTGTATATGTTTATTCGCCTGGAAACATGAATTCGTTAATATTAACGTGTTGAAGAAGAACATGTTGTAAAGCCGCTAAAGTTTGAGAAGATGTTATAAATATGAAAAATGTTGGACATATGTGGTGGCGATGGGGGATTTGTTGGATGGTTGCATAGGAGTCACCAAGGAGGCGGATGGGGGAGCAAGTAAAAATATGTTGATGTATACAGAATAGTTAAAGATAGAATTGTTTTTGAACCACTTTGATATTTATATCCCCGTTGCAACACACGGGCAATCACCTAGTTGTTGTAAACATGGAATCAATACCAACCTCCCTGGTTACATCTTCTAATCCTTGTATTATGTACATTTCTCTTTTTTTAATAAAGTTTTGATATGTTGTGGGGGTGTTGCCCCATAGTTCCCAGTCAAAAAAAAACATGGCATCAATACTTCATAAATTATAGATACGTTGGAGAGGTATCAAACCGTCACAATGAGAGGCCCCTTAGTCAGGACATCGTCAACACACGATCCGAGAGGGAGGTGCTCATGAGGCTTCTGATGTCGGGGCTCGCTAGACGACACTTAAGGCAGTAGTTGTTGGCGGTGTGGTGCTCTTCGAATGTCGGGTCTTGCAGCCAAGGTCGGCGACATGGTGTGAGTGTGGTGGTCCGGGGTGACAAGCTGATGCCTGCGCGAACGGTGGCGCGTTCTAGTGCGCATAGTGCAACGAGGGTGTGGCGGCGCTGAGCTGAGGCTGGCAGGTGTGGAGCGGGCGGCAGCTAGGACCCTTGATTGTGGAGCAGCAACCGAGCGTGCCAACTCTTGTTGTGCAGAGGAACAACAAAGGTCACACCGTCGCTAGCGCGATGAAGCGGTATTAAATTGCTCGAACGCTAATCAAATGGCAACATCATATAGAGACTTCACTCTTCTGCCAGAATCTCGGTACGACAGCGACGTCGAAGCGGGAGCCACCTCCAGGTAGTTCATCCAATCTCTCCTCTCATGCTTCATCAATATTCCACCACATCAGGATCGAGACAGGGGATACATAGGTACTCCCAACCCTCATTTTTAGGAATTTTGCTGTATCGAAAGTTCGTGCATCGGCAGCGATAGTTGTGTATTGTGGGACTCATCGGGAATTGAATGGTGCAGTTCATCTTCGGGCATTGCTTTATAAAATAAATTTACATGTCTTATAGATAGTTGTGTTAAATTTTTGCCAGGTATGTCGTCATTTTCAAGAAATTGCATTGTTTAGCTGACAAATTTTTAGGACATTATCTATATAAATGATGGCAAATTTTGTTGATGTTTTGCTATTTTTTTACACTTGGACCTTTTTGTTAGAATTTGTATATCTTAGTTAAAACATGGCTATTTTCTGAATTTTTTAGTACTATCTTTCTCAAATTCCAGAGGAAATGTTCTCGAAACCATGGCAGTTTTGGTAAAGTGACATGGCAAACTTTTAAAATATGACACAACAAAGTTTCTGAATCTGTTTAGGACTATTCCATGATTCACATATTTATTTTCCATGACTCAAGTAGTTTTTAATCAACATAGGTAGGTTCTACATAGTTTTTATAGCACATTTGCCATGGCAATTTAGCTCCTTTTTTTGCCAATATTACAAATTTTACCTCAATTTTACCATGCAAAACAACATTTGTGATCATAATAAGTAGTCACCTTTGGCGTCAAATTTACACTTGCCATGATACAAATGCTTTCTCAACATACTTCGCATTTCACATAGTTCCCATGCTCACACCATCAGATTGAGAGATAGGATCATCTTAGCATGATATAAATAGGGTTCAAATTTTATTTTTCATGCACCATTCCAAATTTTCCATTTTTTATGGTAAATACGTTACAAATACTATAGAGAGTTTATCTAACATACCATGGCAATTTTTATTTTTTTGTAACATGTGAAATTTTTTCATCTCCAAAAAGCTGCCACGTTTTTTAGATTAAAAAAATCATAAATTTGTCATATGCCAATGGCAAAATCCTAATTTTTTCATTGTTTTAAGGACAAATCCCTAATTTTGCCATCTTTTAAAATGACAAATCCCTAATTTTGCCATCTTTTCAAGATAAGAAATTTTCGTCCACATGGAAAATTCCTAAATTTGCATTTTTGCTCTTGGAAAAATTGTAAATTTGTCGTCTTTCCAAAGAAGAAAATCCTAAATTTGTCATGATGCCAATTTTAGAAAAATTTATAAGCTGTCATGTTTGTTAGAGAACAATCTTCCTAAATTTACCTTGCGCACTTTCATTATAGGTAGCATGGAAATCTTATTATTTAGATCACATTTTTTTATAATTAGAGCATGGTTGCTTATTGTTGGTACCATGTCGCTTTACTATCTAAATTATGACAATTTTATTATGTAGAACATGGCCATATTCTTACTTAGAACACGGTAGTTATTTGTAGGTACCATGGCACTTTTTATTACTTTGGACCAATGGAATTTAATTATCTAGACCATAATTTTTTTATTGCTTTGGACCATGGCAATCTTGTTATTTATACCATGGCCGTTTCATTAATTATACCATGGTAGTTCATTGTAGCTACCATGGCAATCTTATTATTTCGACTATGGAATTCATTTTATTAGTCTGTGTGATTTAATGTAGGTAGCACGACAATTTTAATACCTATACCTTGGCAATTTTAATTCTTTTTAGGGTCAGTGTCTTGGTTAGGGCTGTGTGGCGGAGGTGATGTCCCTTAGTTGAAATAATGTCTCGCATGTTCTATCCCTGTCCCAATGATCGATGTGTCTAGTGTCGTTGGAGGGCGTCTGGAGGTGTGTCTCCATCGGATCTCATGGGCTTGATTGGTGCTGGTCTTCGGTGGGTTTGTTTGGATCCGGTCTTCGTTCATCTTGGTTTGGGTGTTTACAGATTTGATACTTGTGGTCTACAACTTTCTTCATCGGTGATGATTGCTGCTCTGGTGCACTGAACCTATCCGTGGACTTGGTTGTAATTATTATTACCTCTGGTGTTCTTTGTACTATCCTGATTGGAGATGAAATAGATTGAAATTTTCTCACGCAATAAATTTTCTACCACGAGAAAAAAATTTGGAATTTTTTGAAATTTTCTAGTATTTTTCGTGAATTGTTTTCTGGACGGGTGCAGATGAGCCTCGGCACCTGCACTCCCTTTT